TACAACGTTTCGACAAGGTTTTATATTAAAGTTTTTCTTCATTACCCATTCAAGCCGTCTCCAGCCATTAATAGTGTGCTTTTATTTAAAAGAAGTTAGTGTTGCAAAAAATGTTGGTTTTACGAGTTCTTCATCAGTGTTCTTTATAAGATTTTGTTTTGTTCATATTGTTGAGTATAGATTTGTTTCACGATAATCACACTCACCCAGCAACTCTAAGCTAAAATAAGTTTGTCTGTTAATGCCTTTTTATTGTTACTCTTTAATTATTGGTAAGTTTCCTTTTTGTTTCCACCAAGTATTTAGCATATAAGTGCGACTGTACAAATAAGAATTTTATAATGAGTAACGCCAATCTTTTTTATCTAATCAAAACACACGTAATTATTATTAAATTTTCCAAGGTAATTCTTACCATTACTTAAAATCTCACTAACAAAACAATATTATAGCAAATTATTTAATTAACTTTACATAATTGTTAATTCAGAGCAGTTTTGTATTGATTGGTTCGCTTCGTGAAATATGTTTATTGTAACTTAGTGAACCTTCACCATATAAAGTCTATAATGTATACCACAATTATATGACGAAACTTGTTTGTTTCTGTTAGTAACGCTAAGCTACACAAGACTTAGCTGAACAAGGCGTCCATAATTTTGAATTGATAGGCTAAAGTAAAGCTATGAGTCAACAGCACCCACTGCCAACTTTAATCAAATAGCGGTATTTGACCATCATTCTCATTACGCACCCACGTCCACTATGGATGGAGGAGTATAGTGTTCTTTGTTTACTTTAAATTGGACCTTTAGCCGTAAACGTATAAGTTCGTTTTTTTATATTTTTAATAACATGTCTGTTTCTTTTTTTTATTATTTTAGATTAATATCATACCTGTTAAAAGTAGCTTTAAAGGGAAATTCTATCCACGTGGCTATAGCAAGGAAATTAGCATTATTTTCACATGACAATAATAATAATATCAAACAGAAAAACATGAAGATTCTGAAAAACTTGTACGTGGAAGCATTGCACATTTGTGGGATGAATCAAATAATATGACCCTATTTTGGGGAGGGAGGATAATAAAACTAGTATACTTGTATTTTCAATTTTTTTTATCCCAATACGTTATGTCATATATTTTTATGTTTCTAGCAAACTATATATAAAAGGATATTTTTACGTCCAAAAAATAAAATTATCTAAAGAGAAAAAAATTAAAACGCAAGCTGGCGAAACTGATGATTAAATAGGTTGGATAAAACGTTTGTATAAAATCTAGCAAGTCTGGAAAACAATTTAAATCTTAGTTAGAGACACACCGGGAAATGAAATCAGTTAAAAGTTAAAAGTCAAAGAATTGTATCATTCGGTACATTCGTGAAAATAATTCCAATTGATTTCATTGTAACCATGAGTGTAATAAATCATCAACAGCGTAATTTCGGTTTGTTTCCATGCTCTTGAAATATTTCAGGTAATTTTATGCTTAAATTGCTATAAACATGTTTTTATACCAAATACCTCACATGTATTTAAACCATTGATGATAACTAGTATATAATTATATTGATGTTTCTTCAATGATATAAGTTTCATGGAAATTTCATCATGACCTCAGTGACTACAGCATTTAATTGCCTAAACACACAAATTTCTTTGCGCTACCCTTAATTTAAGGAACCATGGGACTGCTGATCAGAGACCAACAATTTTTACATTATTATTGTGTTGCAAATCATGAATAAAACATAGTATTTCTAATACAAAGAAACAAACACATCTAAGTTAAAAAGTTAACTTAGAATAAAATATCAAGACTGGTTAAAATATATTTTAAACTTCGTTTTTTAGTTAATTTTAATTTTCAGAACAACTGTAAACATATGAAGCATTCACGCATCTAATCCTTGTTATTTAATATTACTGATTTATAAATACTATCGTAACGCTTACTGTAGCTAGCTCAGTGTTAATTCCGAGGGATTAGAACGCCAAAAATCGTATTTCGATACTCGTGGCCAGGCATGGCCACGTGGTTACGGCACTCTACACGCAATCTGAGGGTCTCGGGTTCGAATCCCCCGACACACCAAACATTCTCGCCCGTTCAGCCGTGGGGTGTTATAATGTGACGGTCAATCCCA